GGACCAACAGTGATCTATTATCACATATCCCTTGGATCTGACTCTTTATGTACGTGTGTTTGTGCTTCCTGAATCTCCATATCCTGACCTCCACATATTCTCAAAAAGAGTTGTTTTTGTTTGTTTTTTCTCCCATCATCGGACTCTGTANGAATCTGTAGGGTCATGACCCCTTGGGACCAACAGTGATCTATTATCACATATCCCTTGGATCTGACTCTTTATGTACGTGTGTTTGTGCTTCCTGAATCTCCATATCCTGACCTCCACATATTCTCAAAAAGAGTTGTTTTTGTTTGTTTTTTCTCCCATCATCGGACTCTGTAGTCTGCCCCTCTGGCCCCTATCCTCCGCTTCTACCAGCTAGACGACCCAACCGGGGTCACATAGGAGGGGGGGGTTGGACCCCCTCCTGCGGTTCCTGCCTGAGATATTTTTATCGCGACAAGGGTACAGCAATCCCTTCCCTCGCGACTTATGAAGTCGATCAAGTTTGTGCAAGTTTACTAAACAACGAGCTTTGCAGCGCGTCGCTTCCAACGGAGACCAGGATTTAGTCTTATTAGCGAGAAAAAACTCACTCTGTCGGGACTCGAACCCATGACCTGGCCCTTAGAAGGCTGTAAGGCTACCCACTAGACCACCGGGGCGACCGGGGGGACGTGTAACATTGCGGATCTTGCTGGACAATGAAAGGAACAGCTCACGGGCTCCCGGGTGGTGTGTGCCCTCTCGTCGTCCTCTGCTCACAATTCATCCACAGCGTCACTCGCAACCTACAACTAACCTCTCCAGATCCTCCCCATATGTCAATTTGACTGCTCTGTGTGGTTAGACTATGGGCGGAGATGGCACCGGGTGAGTTATTAAAAAAAAAGAACGGCATGATTCAATTCGATTTCCGATTGAGCTCTTTGTAAGCTAGCTGCGGAATGAGGCGCATGTGGGGGCCGGTTTCAGCGGAGCGACACTGTGCGTGTACGGAGCGGGCCCCCACTCCTTTATTCATATACGGTCGCGGTTCACGCGGAATGTCATCAGTTGTCGTCACTGAATGTTGTCACTGAATGAGGTGGTATGGAAGTTGCCGACCGTCCACTCGACCAAGCACACAACCACCTTAAACTACAAGGAAATATCTTCTGCTGTGTATTGACTGATACTCCTTATAAAAATCATTTGAGAAAACGATCGCACCCGCTGCCATCTTTGCGCCTTTTGCGGTATGTCAGTTGAGCTCCGCTACACGCACCCGCGGGAGAGGTAGTAGCAACAGCAGTAGAGTCGCCAACGGACGTGCGGAACACGCCATATATATGGGCAAATCAAGTCGAATGTGTGGCGGCTGCGGCCTCCGGAAAGCTGTCCGTGCTGCGTTGACGTCCGGTAGCCGACTTATTATGTTGATCGGTAGTTGACGGGGGAATGCGGTATGGCCCCCAGCGGCGTCTGCGGGCCCGGCGGTAGCGGTTCCCCCCTGTTTCGGTTAGGGGGGGGGGGAGCGTACTCATTTTTTGCTTGCCGTAGTCATTTGACCATTGACCACGCGTCCCTTTCGAGACGGAGCACCGTTCCTACCCCTACTAGAGACACCACCAACATTTGGGAGCTCTTTACGTTTCTGCCACAAACTACATTAAAATTTCTTGCACATCTTATCCCCGTCCTCTACGGCCTCTTGTGCCCACCATCTACCCCCAATTACCGCGATCGTTTTTTCGCTGTTGTCTAATTTACCAAACTTGTCCATGTCACACCCTCAATGTCTCATGTCCTCCTCGAGATCCTCTCTTTCCTTCCTGTACAGCTCACACTCCCCAACTATGTGGGGTCTACTCTCCTCCGATTTGCCACATGGACATGTCTGTCTATCCTCCTCTTCCTCTCTCCTACGGCAACTGTACCTCTTCCTCCGTTCTGGCAAGTCCAGATCGCCTACTCGAAATTGCAACTTCAGTTTTTTTGCGTCGTCCATGGGGCCGTCCAAGTAGCTCTTCATCCTTATCCCTTCTTTCAACTTCCCGTATGTCTCCAAGTGGTCTTCGCTTCGTACCTTCTTCCGAAGGGTTGCCTCCTCCCTACTTTCTAGCATTTCCTTGACTTTCTTCTTGAACCCCCCAAACCCTTCCGTGTCCAATGTCTCCCCCTCGTCTCCTATCTCCTTCCAAACCCTCTCTACCACCTTGTCCCATCTGATTCCTTTATTCCCTCAAGTCGCTTTTCCCCAAGCTGCCTTGTCCATGTTTCGGTTAGGGGGGCGGCCAGCTCGCCCTCGACAGGTGCGGGAAAACCAAGAGCGACAGAGGTGGAGGAATCTGTCACCGACATCGGAGATAGGGAAGAAACAGGGTGCGGGTGGTTCCGGAGGCCAGCGGCAGCTGTAGTGACACGCTCAGCAGCTACAGCAAGGATTGCAGCGACAGCTGAGGACTGAGGATTGGTGCCACTAGCTCGTCACTTCGACCCGAGCCGGTTATTTTCGCTGTATGGCGACGTGGCGAATGTCAGCTGTGGAGACGCTTGCGACGGCGACACGCAGCGGTACAGGAAGTGGGCACCGCAGCGGCGATGAAAGCTGCAGCGACGAGAGTTTTGGATCCGACCTGGAGTGGAGCTGACGCGAGACCCTTTGAAGATACCGCGCAGCAGCCCCACGGAAGAGTATGATCTGAGAGTGGCGCGTCTAATCAATCACGGCAAACAATTTTCCTTGCTTCGGCGGCGCCATGGCACATAAAGTTTGTCTCATACCAGCATGCTCCTGGTGACATGTAACAATGGAACCCAACAGTGCCTACTCTCATCTGGGAAGCTTGAAAAACAAAACACAAGTCTTCATGTGGCTTTCAATCAAGTTTGACGACGCCTACACATCATCAGCGGTACGCTCCTCGTACCGCACCGCAGCAGGTTCCTTGTGCGCCTGCGTATCATATCCGACAACAATTGTGAAGTTGAAGCCCTCCGGCTCACTTGCTTCCACCTGGACCCGCGTTACCACCATACATTCCTCTGTTATAGGTCCTGCGCGGCGTGTGCCTGTTCCTTGGCATCTTCCGCCTCATGTAAGGGCGGGGCAGGTAATTGTGCCATCCGTGTTCGGCGGAATTGTGGTAGTAATGACGTCCCCTGTGGTACTGGTCAATACCACAGGGACATTGCAGGTGCTGTCATGACCCCACCGAGCGCGGGTGGCACAATTACCCCCTCCGCGCTTTGCATGAGGCGGAAGATGCTAAGAAACAGGCACACGCAACGCAGGAACCTACCGCACAGGTATGGCTCACAACGCTGATCACAGGGATGATATACCTGGGGATGAGCTCCGAGTTCTTGGCTTGATAGCTGCACGGGCGCTGGCGTTTAGCTTTTCAGCAGACTTGGCGTTTGTTCTGCAGGGGTCCCTCATGATTCCTAGCCACCTCGACGTCGATATGCACTTTGTCGGGGTGGCTGGGAATGACTACACTGATGGCAAGAGATCAGGTCGTGGGGAGTAGGTTGGACACCGATCACAGCCTGGGGTGGAGAGGTTGCACGCCGAAGTGTGCAGATACTCCCGCATCCCGGATAGTGGCGTCAATCCAAACAGCACGGCGGGCTGGAAGCATGGACAGAACAACGTGTTCAAGGTCGATCTGTTGGGATTTGTCTCGAGTTACGGTTATGCGTATTCTTGCTGGTTGTTGGTACTGAGCAAAGATCGGAACGGCTGGTCGTGTGCAATCGGTCAGCTGAGCAAGAAAAGCGTATTGAAGAAAGATCCGCGAAGAGGGCCAAAACTATCCAAGGTTTCAAGAACGGGCAGCACCAAGAATGCCAAAAAGCCAATCTCTCTACAAGCTCAAGACACACACCTTAGCTTCGCGCATGCGTGTCATTGCCCAGTTCCTATGCAACCAGCAAAGTGCCACAACTTACATAGTGATTGTCTCGGCTGTAGTTGTTGCCCCGTCATCGCCTCTCTGAACTTAAACACCTTTTGTGAAACCCTCGTGGTTTTATCGGCAACGCAGCTTGCCTCAGGCAAGCGCGCAAATCATCTTGGAGGTTTTCGTTGTCTTGCTAAGGCGGTGTCGAAGCCATGATGCCGGATGGTGCGTGTGACGACGGTACTGTCATGGAAGCTACAAGCAGGGAAGGTACTCACCCGATTCACATAGGAAGCACAGACGAGAGATGAATATTTGCACCGACACAATGGATCTCTGAGTGATGAGTAGTGCGTGCTTGAATTCTTGATGCACATTGCAGCGTTCTTTGTGCACGGATCAGAGGCAACAGGTGATGATGTTTTCCGAACAAAGAGAGTCGCCAACTCATCATATTTCTTTTACGTGCATCTCCCGTGTCACGGTGACAACAACGGCCTAACACTGCGGTACAACACATCACTGGGACGACCGTTAATAATCCCAGTTCAAAAAGCAAGAAAGCGTTCGTGAGCTCGAGTACCGAGAGAAGCAAAGAATTAACACTGGTCACACAGACAGTCACAACATTTTTATAAGTGAACTTGAACGCACTTTTTGGGCCCCTCTTTTGGCTTTTGCTAGAGCCCCCTCGCCGTGGTCCACGCCCCCGCTTATCACCTGATGAAAGTGACCGCGCACCTCTATGTTTGGGTGCGGTAGCTCGTCAGAGGCCGAAAGAGAAAGAAGGTTGACTCAAGACCTTGTTGCTTAGAGAGTAAGAGACATGCGGTAGGCCACACCATCGCCATGCAGCATGTCTGTCAATACATTCCATCCGCGTACCCCCCGGAGGCCCCGTAGACAGTATACTCTGCCGAGCACCCCAAACAGCCCCCCTGCTCGGTACGAGATACTATCTACGAAATCCCCGACACGACTATCATTGCCAGACAAAACGGCAGACAGAAAAACCAAAACTCCTATGCTAACAATAACTCATCCACCATTCCAATCCAAACGACTCTGCCAGTAGAACATGTCCCAAGAAATCGCCGGATCTTCCAACAAAATACGTCCTGCAAAGCTTTCAAAGCTTTTTGATGTCAAATTTCTACCCCTAAAAGGTCTGTCAAGAAAAACAAATCACCCTCTCGAGAAAAGTGCTCTACCCAATTCTCAAGCAGTCAAAACACGAACAATCACCCTTGGAAAAATACCCAGCAAAAAGATCAACATTCCATCAGAATCACGTCAGAACGGGGAGGACGGGTAACTCCGGGAAAACGTGTCTTACGTCCTGACTACTCAGAACAAATTCATTCCTCAGATAAATATTCATGTTTCAACTCAATGGCCAGTTCAAATAACAAGAACATGCCAACNGGACGGGTAACTCCGGGAAAACGTGTCTTACGTCCTGACTACTCAGAACAAATTCATTCCTCAGATAAATATTCATGTTTCAACTCAATGGCCAGTTCAAACTACAAGAACATGCCAAACCCTCTCTCCGACATCCAATACCTTGACAAAGAAACCACTCCACCAGCCCCCCTGCTGTAACATCCATTCCATCCTGAACATGAAGTCAAAATCAAATCAATCAATCAATCCAACAGCCCCCCTGCTGCATCATTCATCCCGAAAAATCAAAACCAACTGCGACTAGGATCATGGAACAATACTTCCCCCCCCATCATTCTCACGCAAAACTATCTCATCCATCGCGAAAGCAGAAATCATCATCGAGCAGCAGATCAAAGGCCAGTACCAGGTCACAAATAAAACACATGGTGCAAGAAAGGCCCCATCGCTGAAATAGTGCAACACCAAGAACAAAATCAACGAATATTCATCACGAAGTCACGATGCGCGCAAAAAGTCTCCTTGGGGAGCGGTTTGGTCAAGAAATCCGCGCGTTGCAGGTCCGACCGTACGTGGACTACCTTGAACTCCCCCCGTGCTACACGCTCACGGATGAAATGGTGGCGGATGTCGATGTGCTTCGAGTTGGGAGTAGTAGCCGGGTTACTTGCCAAGTGAATAGCGCCTACGTTGTCCTCCCACACCGGCGTGCACCCCACATCACGGCCCGGATAGATCAATTTCCACAGATACCGCAGAAAAATAGCCTCCTTCATCCCATCAGACATCGCCACGTACTCCGCTTCCGTCGAAGACAGGGTGACGCTCTTCTGCGTCCTACACAGATACATCACACACGCACCAGCGAACAT